CAGATGCTTGGAAAACTTTTAAATCCATACTATGGAAAGTGTACACGTTAAGCTTTGTGCACTTTCTAAAAATACACATAAGTGGTAAGTTTGCACGTTATGCTTTGCGCACTTTCTAAAATCCACATAAGTGGTAAGTGTGCATGTTATGCTTTGCCCACTTTTCTGAAATCCTGGATGGTAAGGGTTACGCGTTATGAGCCTCTTTCCATTTCTCTGAGTTGGTGTAGACCCCGGTACCTTGGGCTCCACTCAACTAGTGTGTCTCTGTCGACACACTCTGGAAGCATCGCTCCCCTCACCATTGAGGGTTATTGTGAGCATGGTGTTTTCTTTCAAGCATTTAATTCTCTCTGAGGAGTTGGATTCCTCGCTCCATGGGCTGTTCTCGTGGTAGTGCTGAGCAGTGCTCCCCTTTTATCAAAGGGTTACCTATGAGCACGCTACTCCTTCTGAATTCGGAGTTCTCCTCTCATGTGATAGTTAAGTTCTCTGTTTTTCCCAGAGCACCTGGAACCAGCAGCATCAGGCGAACTAGGCCCTTCCTCTGCCTCTCTGATGCGCTGAGTTTTTTGGCTAGCTTGCGGTACACTTACCCTTCTGATTCTAACAATCGCGCTGTAGGTCGAGTCCCCCTCTCGCTGAGAGCTGGGTTTGTGCTCCCTCAGCTAAGGTAAATTACTGATAGCCATTCCAGCATTCGAACATGCTGTAGGCCGAGCCCCCTTCTCGACTGAGAACTGGGTGTGTTGCTCCCTCAGCTAAGTAAATTATTGCTAGCTGTTCCAGCTTTGGAACATGCTCCAGGTCGAGCCTCCTCTCTTTTGAGAACTGGGGGTGTTGCTCCCTCAGCTAAATAACTGCTAGCTGTTCCTCCATTGGAACATGCTGTAGGTCGAGCTCCCTCTCGATTGAGAGCTGGATGTTTGCCCCCTCAGCTACAGATTTACTGCTAGCCACTCCAGCATTATAAGCCTTAAGATCGAGTTGATGACTTCTCAAACATAGGGTTTTGGGATGCACCTTTTCCATCTATGGGCTGCTCTTTCAGAGTGCCACGAGAACCC